TCGGCAGCTCCGGGTGAGCAGGCGGCCCTGGCGCGTCGCGCTCGGCGCAAGGGCTCGCGCTTGGGCCCGTTTGCGCTCCCTGCGTTACAAATGTCTTGTGATTTTAACCACAACTCACTCTTATCCATGTTGTCTAATCCACGTGTATGGATGTATAGTTGGAATTTGAAGAAACGTTCCACGTGGCCTGGCTTTTTGCATCACCCTGGCTGGCCTGCCACAACCCACCTGGAAAACTAATGTTTCCCCAGCTACTACAGGGCGGGCTCCTGCGGCTGCCGGAGCTCCCGCGGGGCAGGAAACCCTCGGAAAAACGCGGAGGTGGGATGCGGGCGCTCGGCGTGACGTCCCGCGGGGCTCCTGCCTTCCCACGGAGCCGGGAGCTGCTTTCCTGCCCCTCGGCTTTGTAACCGCAGGGGCTGCCGAGGGGTCCGTTTTGCTGCGCACCCACCTATAAATACATATATGTATAAAAATGTAGACATACATATAGGTGACAGGGGGAGGGGGGACATGGAGCCCCAGCTGTGTGGGAGCCCCCAGTCCCATCCTTTGCACCAGTTTTGCTCCCACAGCATCAGTGCCTCCGCCCCGCGGGGCCTCCCTCCCTCCATCCATCTCATCCCAGGGCGCTTTGGCTCCATCCCGGCTCCATCCCGGGGTGCGGGATGGTGCGTGGGGACCTTCCGGACGCAGCTCGCGCGGGCCGTGGATCCGTGCACAGCACCAAAGCTTTGGAGAGGGGGCTGCGTGCCCGTTCGGAGCTGCTGTTCCCAGCCCTGCTCCCGCTGCAGCTCCGCAGCGAGATGACGGAGCAAGCGCCCGGCTCCACGGATGCAGCATGTCCGCGGCGCTCGCACGCGGCATCCCTTGCCTTTTCCTTTCCCGTTTTCCCCCATTTTCCCATGCCTTTCTCCCCTTAGCGGGGCCGCGCCGCAGCAGCGGGTCCCCTCGGCGTCCCCTTTGTGTGGGCCCGGGGCCGTGTCCCTCCCTCCCTCCCCGCGCGCGTCCCTCCCCCCGC